AAATAACTATTTGCTTAAGGTTTTTTCTTTTTTTTTTTTTTTATCTAAATTCGAGTATTAGTGTTCATGCCTATTATGTCTGTGATGTGTTACATGTTTATTAGATTTGTAAGGTATTTAATGAGTTATGGAGATTAGTCGTAGTGTGTGCAAGCTGACCCGAAGATCCTACATAAATAAAATAAAAAATTAAAAGTTAATAAAACAATCAAAGTATTCACAATATTCAGATACAAAATAGATTTTAATTAATCTCATTGATTGATTTAGCTTATGTTTTTTATAAAAACGATCTTTGATTGAAAATATATTAATATAATATTCGAATATTAAAATCATAAAAAATTATGAATTTAATATCTTTTCATGTAAAAAAACATTTTAAAAAGTAAATTGAAATACAAACACAAACACAATATTAATTTAGTTTAAAATAAAATTAAAAAAATAATTCTGTTGGATTTTTTACGTGAAGGAAATTGCATGTACCCATGTTGAATATCTCTATGATAGATCATAATTAATAACATGATAAGGATGCTTTAATTTTTTATTTTTTTTGCATAGTTAAATGTCGTTATTCAAGTGGCATAGATTATAATATTCAACTCAACACATAGGGTTTTCGTTTTTAATAGTTTTAATGCTAAAATGGCCCCGAAAAATATAACTTGGCTTGTGCATTCCACATGGAGAGCTTTTTTTTAAAAAAAAAAGAAAAAAGAAAAGAAAACGGATTAAATTTAAATTTTTAAATGAGAAGGAAAACACTAGAAGATACCTTGTCAGGTATAGCTTTATTGAAAATCTAAAAAAGTAAACTACTAACCCCACAGCTTTATCAAAATTTATGGTGGTTGTTGGTAAGTGTCGATTAAATTGTTTTTTAAAATATTTCACATCTTAATGCCAAACATACATTTAAAATGACTTTTGGTTTTATTACTATTTTGATATAATAAAGTACGAAAATAATGAAAATAAAAATAACATATATATATATATATATTCTATCTTTGAAGCATATAAAATTGTTATAAAAATAAATTCATTTTATATTTTTACCTCATCAGGGTTTCCTTCCTTCAATAGCATCAGCTTCTACTGCCATAGGATTTCATGTCGCTAGAAACAACCATGCATTGTAGATGAACCACGCCCATCTATGCTCGTTCTTATGATTCCCAGTTAGTGTTCTGTAAAGATTCGAGCATTAATGAGGACAGTTTCATCCCAAGTGCCATTGCAATCGCATCCCGTTAAATATATAATTGGAGACACCTCCGTACCCCTTGCTTTTCGTCTTTGACTCTGATCCCTCAGCTCTCATTTACAAAATTCAATCTTGGACCGCTTCCTAGCTGTGGCTGCATTTAAACATTAGCTTATCAATTTGGCAGCTAGTGATTCTCAAAAGTGTTAGTTTAATACGTGATATTATTGTTTTAATGTGTTTGGATG